GTTAATCCTTTTTAGCTAATTGACTCCAGCCTTACATAGTTAACTTCTTTTGAAATGTATTTGCTGTTAAAAATTCTATATAAACTGGGTGGTGTTGGTGCATGTCTTTAATCCCAGAGGTGGATCTCGGTGAGTTCAATGTCATCCTGGTCTACAGAGCCAGGGCTACACAAAGAAACCCTATCTCGAAAATCCAAACCAAAACCAAGACAAAACTCTATAAAAACCTGTGCCTGTGTTTTGGGTGTGTTAACACCTAAACCTTTCAGCCTTCTGCTTTGGAAAGGTGACTCCTTGGAAATGCACCCAGCAGGCACAGGGAGGTGAACATGGCTTGCTTCGTTTCACTGACAGTACTGATCGCTATAGTAGCTATTTCATTAGGAAATGTCCCTGGGCAGACATCTGTGATTAATACAGTAACACACTTTCGTGATAACCCTGAAGGCAGTTCCTACAGGACAACTTGTGTGGGAGCGAAGGGAGCTGCTTTGGCGTGATGGATTTCCCTGTGGTTCTGGGAAAAACCCTGTCATTATGCTGGCCTTCTTGCTAGTGTTTTGAAAGTTTCTTGCATGATGAATGAGGTGGGGAAGGGAGATGAAGAGAGACCTCTCTCAGTCTGGTCATATGAGCCCTTAACACAGACAGCCTGTGCCTGGCCGCTCAGAAAGCTGTTGCTGAGTTTTTCTTTTCCATCTCGGCTCCTTCCTGTAAGAGTTATGCTCAGTCTGCAGAGCAATGTGTAGAGACATACAATCTTTCTGCCCCTCCCCGTCTCTCTCTCTCTCTCTCTCTCTCCCTCCCTCCCTTCCTCCCTCCTTCCCTTCCTCCTCCCTCTCTCTTACACACACACACACACACACACACACACACACACACCCCACACCTATACCTACCCGGTTTTTGTTTGTTTGTTTATTTGCCTTGTGTCAAAACTGCCCTTTTCCAGACACAGACACAGGCAACCTGCATTTCTGGTCAAGGTCTGGTTGCCTCCCAGACTTTGCCTCTCTATACACAACCCATGCCTGCCTCTACCACATGCCTCAGACAAAACCATGCAGGTCTCTCTCTCTCCCTCACTCATATTTTCTGTCTCCAGGATCCACACGATTAACCAGTGGTACCCAAGACTTTCCCTCTTACCATCCAGCTTTCTCTCTCCTATTGGGGGGTCCTAGAGCACTAAACTAAGACCCTACCAAGAAGGAGGCTTTCAAAATCCGTTTCTGATCTGCCCGCTCCCGTGTTCACAGTTTTTTTTTCACATTATTTTATGTTAAAATTAACAGATTGGGGGAAATGCCTTGATATGTTGATGATATATCCTGCACATGTTGACTGTGATGTTTCAGAAAGGTTTGTACCCACAGATGCACCCGCGGGAATCGGCAATCCTGATTGTGACTGCTTCTGTTTCTCCAAACATTTCCTCATGCCTCTTGGAATTCTCCCCTCCTGTCCCAGGCCCAGGCCTCAAACATTGCTCTGCACTCTATCATTGTTGAGCAAGTTGGAATAACTTTTTGGTTTATAAAAATATGATCATACAGCCAGGCGGTGGTGGGCACATCTTTAATCCCAGCACTCGGGAGGCAGAAGCAGGTGGCTTTCTGTGAGTTCAAGGCCAGCCTGATTTACAGAGTGAGTTCCAGGACAGTCAACAAACATGATCATAGAATATGTACTCTTTTGTCTTCGATTATGCAGCCTTATTGTTTTGAAAATTAGTGAATTGTCAGGTTGTTGCACTCACATTGCTATTTTTGTTTGTTTGTATGAGTAGGGTCCCAGTGTGTAGCCCTGGTTGGCCTGGAACTCCTTATGGAGACCAGGTTGGCCTTAAACTTGTGTTCCTCCTGCCACCACCTCCCGAGTGCTGGGATTCCGAGTGTGAGCCACCGTGCTTGGTACTGTGTGAATATACCCCAATATGCACATTCACCTCCTGATGAAAATTTAGTTTACAATTTCTGGTTATCACAAACAGAGCTGCAGTGAAAATTTATGTACGCATCTCTCTATAAACAACTATTTTCTCCTGGAAAAACAAGAGAGAAAAATAAGTAATAAGAGAGGTAAAATAAGTGATACTGTTGCGCTCTATCACTTGTGTGTGTGTGTGTGTGTGTGTGTATGTGTTAACTTAGGTGCTGAGAACCGAACCCAGGGTTTCATGTGTGTGTGTGTGTGTGTGTGTGTGTGTGTGTGTGTTAACTTAGGT